CCTAGTTTTTTTGCCTTCAACAGGAGTACTATGATTTATTGGGACAAAGTTGAAAATTATATCTTTTTCTGGCAAGATGTTTATATTTCAAGACYTTTTTCCCCTGTTGTAATTATGTGATAAATGAAAACATTTATTTTTGCTAATATTTGGTCTTAAATAGACTTGGAATGAGAAGGAAAAATGGAGACTATTTCACAGATTTTGCAGGAGGTTTATTATGCTCATTAGCTTCAGGCCATCAGAAAGTTASGTGCTCTCAGGCACTGCACATAATGAGAATGAATATTCGATCATAAACATATTTGAGAACTGTTTGCTTATTCCCSTGTTTGTCCTCAAATAATGGTGAGGGAGTGCAAAGCAGGTTTTTAAGGGACATCAATATTAAATGCTTGGATTTTGGTTTGACTTAAGCAGAGGCATTGAGYAGAAAAATAACATTTTTCCTCTTACAGATATCCTTCAGGTGTCAGTTCTGCAGGATCCTGGTTTTATTACATCAATCACAAGCAGCTTAAGGCTTCCAAAAACATAGTCACAGACAGATGTTGAGCCTGTCTGGGGATTAGAAATATCCTCTTCCATTAAGTATAAATTAAGTTAATCACCAGGTATGAAAGATAAGCAGCATAAACATCATTCCCTGAAGCTTTCATTAAAATTAAAATTCTATTTAAAACTAGGCTTGTACTTTCTATGACTTGATCCCCCTTCAAAGAGATTATATCTGCTGTAAATTTTTACAGTGACAGAGTGACAGAAATTAATGTATTGGGGGCAGTGATGTTCTCTATAATTTAACTTCTGCTGCTAGTCATCTTTCAGCAAGAGAGWTGATTGGCTTATTTTTAAGTAGTAATTGGTCTCTAGTCTCTGAAACACTGAGAAAGCAATAAAACTGCCTAGCACCCAGTTGCCACAAAATGAAAGCATGAAGTCACATGACTTAATAGCAGTGTAATCATCAGTAGTGTTATTTTGTGTATGAGAATTCACCTGCTTTAATAGGAGGATTAAGGCTGATAAAATGCAATTGCACTGCTGCTTYCTGCTCCATTGGATGACAGGGTGAAGCTCCTTTTCTGCCCCAGCATAAGCACAACTGCTTTCTAAGAATAATTTCCACATGGGAAGAAATATCCTGGGGTTTGTTTTTTTTTCTGTTCTGCTGTAAGACACTTGGTGGTCTAATTTCAGWGCATTCCCAGGCTTTACAGCTGGTTTGCCTTTGTGCTATCCTGCATTATTATTTTTCAGGCACGCTTTTCTAAGGAAACAAAAGAAACTCTGGAGAAATAATGAGGCACATAAGTACCTTGAAAGCAAATAGTGAACACAAATAAATCTACTAGGAATAATAACAGCAACCTCCACAGAAAAGAAAKTATTGGGGACTATATTTAATGATCTTTGTTCTGTAATAATTTTTGCTACAGTGGAACAAAGTCTTTGGATGCAGGATTTGCATTGCTTATCCATTATTTCATTACAGTAATGCCATATTTTCTGCTGCWCTCATAGCTGACAGGTAATAACATAAGCATTCACTGCTTGTGTTACATTAAAAGTAATAAATCTGTAGTGAATACAGAATTATATCACCATTATTCTTAAGAGGAGAAAGTTGGAAGTAAAGAATCTCAATTAATAATTAGGAAATAGCTGGGGTTTTTTCAGCACCTGAGACTCCTCAGATGCATTTCTCCTTTAATTATTTAAAGTACATATTAGGGAGAGTTATAGAAATTAAACCACAGCTCTAGTCTGCTCTGCATATGAAATGAAAATGTCAGTAATGTTCTCATCCACGGCTTTGTGTCCCTGGTGTGGAGCAGATCAGGATCCATGCCAAGTCTCTACATCTTGGAAACACTCATTAACACTGTGTGAAGGCAGCAAACTTTCCAGTCTTCTGTTTTCTGCCAAAAGCGATTTAATCTTTAATGAGAAGTGTTTATTTTTRTAATAAATCCATCAATCTGAAGAGGCAGTGAACCATCCTTCTCAGAAAGGGGACTGATGGCTGTGRCAAACAAACAGCACTCCAGGGACAGAAACGGAGAGCCCGGAACGGGCRATGCTGCGGGTGAGAGCTGCTCTGATGGCTGCTGACAGGCTGCAGGCACTTGGGCTTCACTTTTCCAACAGTCTAATAAATTATTTTGGTTTTCTTAAGCAAGATTTTATCCATGGATTCACCTAAAAAGTACTTGYCAACTCTCCAAAACAAGCAGTGCACTCCTTGCCTTTCACCCTTCCTCAGGAAACACCGTGTCAGGCCTAGAAGCTGCAGGTGAAGTTTAAAATCTAAGTGAGGTGATTTACCCARTTTATTTCTTTAACTGAGATACGGGGTTTTTTTTTTGTCTTGGAGAGAGATGGAAATTCTGCTTTCAGCACTTTCTGCTTCCCAGAGACAGGACAGCTGCTGTGTTTTCAAAATGTATTTGGTGTGATCAGAAGTTCGTTGTCTGCCAAGAGCGTGGTGATTATCAATCCTTATGTTTAATCTGATTGATTCTGCTCTTTAAAATGTGGACTCTTTACTGGGGTTGCTTTGCTTCCCTCAAAGCATTCTCCAAAGTGTTGAATAAACTCTATGTAAGAGCCGTATTTTTTCTAACAAAACGTCAAAAATCTCTTACTGTGTGAGTTTAACATTCTTTTAATACTTTTATCTTTGTGCAACTRTATTATTATTTTGAAAGGTGGAAATTCTTGTGCTATTGACGTTTTCTCACTTTGCCAGAGGGTAAAGAGGGAATGAATATTCATTTTCTTCAAATGACACTCACGAGTGGCCAGAACAAAACAAAAGCTGATTACTCACACAACATGTAGGCAAACCATGAACTGCTTGCTATGACATCCTAGGAGTGCTGGAAGTCTCTGTGTTAATAAAAGTAATGGGATTAGTTCATAAAAGCAAATTCATGAATGGTTGATAATGCAGAGACACTGCTCTGGCTTGGCCTTGGTTTCCTAAATGATTTATTTCTGTGAATGAGGCACATGAATATATTTCATTCCTGCACGCTCCAGGTACAAACACTTATCTCTTCTTTGGGAGGTCCATAGTCTGTGGTGATAAATGGCTGGATAGATAGATTTGTCACGCAAAATAATCTCTGCTTTTAACTATGTTAACGTAGTCCTTGCTTGGAGAATAGAGGCTCAGCTGAGGGAATAATTATAGCTTCAGAATCCAGAACATAATATTTTCTTTTATTAGGTAAGCAGTTGTAAGCTGATACTGAAATTGCTTAATTTATACTTCTAGCAATGCCCTAAATGTAAAATACATCAAGTGAGCATTCTTAGAAATATTAACATTGTGATTCTTACCCCGTTTTACTCTGAATTTGACAGCTAAATTTTATATACAAGTATACAAAATGCTGCAAATTTTGAAGCCTTTAATTAGTAGTTGCAAATTTGTTTGTCCCTTAGCAACTTGTATTTGCATAAAGATTAAGGCTGGTCAGAAAGAAAGGGATAAAACATAGATGGAGGAAACATTAATAAATTAGTAATCATGTATAAAAGATAAGTAGTCTTAGATGTCATTTCCATAAGCTTTATTAAAATTTAAATTTTTTTTAAAGCTTCACCACAGTTGATCATTTCTAAAGAGTGCTCTGTCATAAGCTGCAGAATTAGAGAAACGAATGTATTGAGGTCAGACATTAGTATGTAAATTAAGTTTTGCTTTTCTCTGTGTGGCAACAGAAGCATTACCTTATATTTGACCTTTCATTCATTTGCCTGACTCAGCTGTGTCAGTCAAAACAATTAATTCTAAGGAGCAGCTTTAAAGAGCTGATTTGAACATTTTGCAGCAATAGTYTTAGAATCACAGAATCACAGAATCACAGAATTACCAGRYTGGAAGAGACCTTCAAGATCATCGAGTCCAACCTCTGTCCTAACACCTCAACTAAACTAAATCATGGCACYGAGCRCCACATSCAATCTCTTTTTAAACACGTCCAGGGATGGTGACTCCACCACCTCCCCAGGCAGGCCATTCCAATATTTTATCACCCTTTCTGTAAAAAAGTTTCTCCTAATATCTACCCTGTATTTTCCTTGGCACAACTTAAGACTATGTCCTCTCGTTCTGTCAGTTGTTGCCCGGAAAAAGAGACCAACCCCCACCTCACTACAACCAGAAGACTTTTTAAACTACAGTGTGATGGTCCCTGAAAGCAGCAGTGGCTCGGGTGTCCATGAGCACCCTGTTCTGTGGAAGGTGTCCCCATGTGTCACGATCCGCTTAACTCAAGCGGGGGTCGTGAGAGGTTCGTTATCGGAATCTCAGAGTGCAAAAGAAAACGAGGGGCAAATATATATGCTTTAAATAATCAGGAACAATTTATTTGGATATTTTGCGATAGAAGAGGGTGAGAGAGAGAGAAAGAGAGAGAAAAAGAGAGAGAAAAAGAGGGTGGGGTTATAGCTACCAACGGCTTCAGACGAATCCTCCGAGGTTCCATGGGTTCGCCAGCATCCGTCGGGAGAGATCTCTATCGGGGTCTTCTCGGAGAGACTTTTTATAGTCTTTTTGAAAGCGGGTGGCAGCAAGCCAGGGGGTTGCGAAGTATGGAAAACTGGCCAAGCGGTGGGGAAAGAATGTCTATTGTTAAGGTGTGCAGCATGGGCTGTGAGCTGTACCGTTCTCCTCAGGAACGGTGCGATCATCTGTAGCTCACATCCATTGTTCTCAGCAGTCTAGGAGCTGGAAACTTGGCAGTCCTTCCACCTTGATCTGGCTCAGACTCTTTTGAGCAAAAGTCCCCCCTTTCTCCCGCCTTGGGGTTTTTTCGATGATCGTGAGACAGTCAAGGGTCTTCCATACGGTCTCTTACACCATGGCAGGGGTGGATGGGATGAGCTCTGAGCACCCTGCTCTGTGGAAGGTGTCCCCATGGCAGGGGTGGATGGGATGACCTCTGAGCTCCCTCCCAGTCCAACTCCTCTGTGGTTGCGTTGTGCAGGTGCCGCAGTCTGGAGCAGGTGCGGGACGCGAGCGAGGAGCTGCCGGACGCGGGGCTGGTGGCGCGCTCGGAGCCGGACGTTCACAGGAGCGCCGAGGCCGCGCTGCCCTCGCTGTGCCTCAAGCAGGTGTTCCCCAAATACGCCAAGCAGTTCAGCTACCTGCGCCTCGTCGACAGGGTGGCCGCCTTGTTCATCCGATTCCTCGGGGTCAAAGGGACCACCAAGCTGGGGCCGACGGGGTTCCGCACCTTCATCAGGTCAGTGGGATAAAAGCTGGTTGTATACACCTTCAACCTGGTGTACCGTAACCAGGTGTACCTGGTTGTGATACACCTTCAACTGGCAGGGTTTGAAATGCCTTCCAGCGTGGAGCCATTGCCTGTTCCATTACAAAATAGATCCGTTTTCATCATGCCAAGCTCCTGAAATACCTGACCTGTGAGTCCGTGTCTAGGAGGAAGTTGGGTCTTTATTTGACAGCAGATCAGGGATASTTTGGCAGATACAATTTGCCATCTTCGTCAACATGTCACGTTCCCAGGAAATGRGAGAAATATCATTGTGAGAAAGTGACAACTGAAATTGGGTCACTTGATCTGATTCTGTCGGCGGTGGGGGCAGCGCCGTCCGCCCCAGGCCGCAGGAAGGATTCCCAAATGCCAGTTCCTGATGCGCTGTTCAGGGAGGATTTGCATTGTGAAATTGCACCTTGCAATGTCAAGGAACTCAATTTATTTTTTCACATTTTATTTAGGAGGGTTTTTTTCATTGTTTTTTATGGCTCTATCTGTTCTAGTCATGGTACGAATACTTCATTTTGTGTCTTTCATTGACTATGACAAAAGAAATGAGCAGCAGCAGCAGATGTACTCTTAAAACACAGATCCTGTTTCCTGTTTCTATGCAGATGCATTTAGCATTCAGGAATGAATATGCAACAACTTGGTYTATACAAATTATGATATATATAAAATGTTTGAAGGCATCTGCTCTATCCACAGACCAGCACAGGATTGCATCCAGTTCTGTGTTTTTTGTAGTTTAATCCAGCCTTATTTTGGCACTTGTCAGAGGAACACAGMATAAATGCCAACATTTGCTTTTAAGAATATTCAAATAAATTGCCATATCTTAATGAAATAGTRTTTGCAGTTTCTTAATGCATGTTAAATTAAACTTTTTAATACTGGCAGATATTTTGTTTATTTTCTCCCAGAGGATCTATACCAGCTATAASGCCCTTTTCTGAAGAGCTGTCATTGCTGCTCATTTCAGAAGGAAGGTCAGGTTTCTGTGTGTTGTATCACTTTTCAGGAATAAAATGATACATGAGTGGGATCTGGTGTGTGGGCAAGTGCTTGCAGAGACTGTCCACCCAAATTCTGGCTCATCAAAATCTGTTCTCCTTTAATATTTTCTTCATTCTAAAAAAATAACTAAAAAGGAAACACTGATTGTGTCTCTAGTCTTTGTTTGGATGCTGCCTGAGAATTTTTTGACTATGTAGGCCAGACCTCCAGACCTTACTCTATATTTTAAGGGAGCTCTGCTGAGATTAGTAAAGAGTGAGATTCATTTCAGTTATCTGGGTTTGGGGTGGAGAGCTTTGGGTTTTTTTGTTTCTTTTCTGGCTAGAAATGTTGGCCAGCTCTTTGGCACGTGCAGTGGTTGCAGCCAGGCTGCCAGACATCTGGAAATGCTGGCCACAGGGCCAGTTCCCATCCCCTGATCAACACTGCACTGTGGACTCGAACCACACAGGAGTCCCAGCTCCACATCCCCACAGCCWGAGCTGCATCCAGAGCTGAGTTCAGCAGCACGAGGATAAATCTCATCAGTGTTCAGGCATGGAGAAGGAAAGCTGTGCCTGAAAGCTTCCTCCAGCCCTTTCCAAACAGGATCAGTCAGAYAAATAAAAGGGTATTTCTCTGTGCAAACTCTGCCTCATGCAGATAGTCTGTGCAGATTTGTGGGGGGTTTTGTGGTGTACCAATTAATTCCATTCTCTTACAGCCTCAGAGTACTGGCAATAGCCTGGGAGGAAGCTCTGTGTAGCAGTCAGGTCATAGCTTTAATTGAAATATTCCGGGTTTGGGCGTGTTCCATTCAGATAGGAGCACTAAATGAATGCTGGTCTGTTTGCTCCCTGCTGTGTGTGTTTTATTAGAGTGAGCAGTTACAGTGAGTCCGTACGCATGAATTGAGCAAATTTTTCACCTGTAAGTTGCCCTTGCAGAATTTTTCCCAACTTGGGAGTTTAGATGTAATCGGAATCTCTTCTTTATTTTTTTTAACAGAAACTGCAAACTGAGTAACAGCAATTTTTCAATGGCTGCTGTAGATATCCTATATATTGATATCACAAGGAGGTGGAATAACATGGGCATTGACCACAAAGAATCAGGTAACCCAGGTTTGTATTGAAAAATGATGAAATTTGGCATYGGGGGTTATTCTTTTCCCATTTTAGTAGCTTAGGTACACTTCAAACATTCAATAGAAATGAGAACAAGCCATGTACACCTGAGGCATGCACATTTATAACCATTTCTTCTGGTTAGTGCTGTGGTAGTTACCCTTCAGGGTAGCACTACCTTAGGTACGTGAGGGTCACCTCAGTTTCCCGGCTATCTAAAATCTGAGTATTTACATTTAGCATTCAGGGTGGCTATAAATCATTTATGTGGTTGCTGGATAGAATTTCACTAGGAAAAACAACAGACATGCAATTGAATCATCAGGCTTTCCAAAATTAAGAGATTAGTGGATGGTGTCAATGAGCCAGATGTTTTTAGGTGTTAAAACACAGAATACCCCCATTTCTGTTGGCTTTGTGTTCAGCCCACTCCCAGATGTAACCAAGACAGGCACAATTCTGTTGTTCTAAAGTAGCTTCTAACTTTTTTCATCATGTACTTCACATGAGTGTCACTTCTGGGGACAAAGTGTGTTTGCTACCAGAGGTGCTTTCCCTGCCTGGAGCTCACCRTGACTGATAAAATAATTTACTGAGCCGGCAGCTGCTGCTTTCAGATAACTCAACAATTCCTTTGCAAGCTGTTTTACAGCCAAGATTGTAAACGACCCCAGCTGCAGCCTTGGTTGRGAGAAATTATACTTCAGAATGTAATTGTCATATTTTGAAAAGGTGCCTTTCCTGCAGCATCAATAAGCCAACRTAGTTAAAAACCCCAAACCTTTCAATATCTCATCCTAAAATAATCTCCTAAAGTGTATGTTCAAACTRGGAGAGCCAGTTAAAGCACAAAGCAGTGCTAACTGTGCCTTGTGGCTGGCATTTTGCACAACCAATTGGGGTCTGACTTCTTAATTAAGAATTGGAGTAGGTTTTATTATTTCAAGATTTTAAATACAATAATTAATGTTAATACACTGCTCCTCTTCCCCTTGGCTCTGGTAAAGTGCTGATAGAGAGATATGATCAAACAGCACCTGRAGAGTCTCTGCTGCAGCATGTGGCTTCTGCAGAGGACTTTGTGCGGGAAGGGGCAGAGCAGATGTATTATAGCAGAGACTTTTTTTTGGCACTGCACACTTCAGCTGTTTGTTTTTCATTCASTTGAAACAACTATTGTGGAATTGGTGGGTATGACTGAAAAAATGGCCTCTTCACCTTCAAAGGGGTTTGTACTCGGTGCAGGCTGTGCAGAAGCAAAGCAGTGCTTCACATAAGCTCGCATCTTGCTAAGGTAGTGCTTGGTAATGCAGTTACCTTCATAGTGTTACAGACTGAAATAACACACTGCTGTGAACTTTTTGGTCGGATCCATCTCTAAAAATACAGAGTTGAAAAGACTCAATTCAGTTGCCGACATAAACTTGTTTTTTCTCTCCAGCTGGATTGTTTTCCTTGATACTCAGTATATTGCTGTGTGTCTGATTTGGTTTCAACTTAATAATTTTGGCAGCAGAAATTAAGGCTAATACTGCATCAATTTAGTGGTGCAATATCCTGAAATGGGTTCTTGCTGTACCACTTTGCCTCTRGATTCCAGGCTGAGGTGTGCAAAGCCAGAAGCTGCCTCAGTGATAGAAAATATCACCCATCTGTAACCCAGCCTGGGCTTAGCCTGCCCTGAAACACCCAATGAGTGTGACATACAAATAAAACCTTGGCGTTTGGTCTTAGAAGGACAGACAATTTTTTTTTTCTTTCTGAGCATTCCAGATGGCTGCCATTTAAATGAAAAGATGTGAACTATCACGATTGTTTGTATTCACACCCATCACACACACACATTTGGCCTTGCTGGCACAAGAAACACGCGATAGTATTATCCCTACAGAATGCAGGCTGCTAGAGGTGCTGTGCTCCCAATCAGCCTCCTKTGAGCAGCTTTTCCTTGCAGGAATGTGTCTGCAAGCCTTTGTGGAAGCTTTCTTCTGCCTGGCCCAGAGGAAATACAAGTCACTGCCACTGCACGAGCAGGTGTCGTCGCTGATCGAGCTGTGCGAGTGTCGCCTGGCTGCCCTGCGAGGGAAGCGCCTGGTGTGCCCCAGGGAGCCCTGCCAGGCAGAGGGGCTGCACCTGGCACCGGCTGCACCGGCCCTCCTCACCCACACAGACACTGCCAGCAAGTTTGCAGATTACAGAAATCATCGCAATTAAGGGCACTGCTGTGCAGGGACAGAGCTGGGAGTTGATCCTCAGGTAGGTCCGTGTACTGCTGGAGGAGAGGCCGGCTCTGGAATCCCTGCATTTGGGAGTGGCGACTATTTACTTCAGCTACATTTTTTATTTATGCTCTTCAAAAAGTCTACTTTTTGAATTATTTTCAAATAATGACCCTGGCGATGGGTATTTCTTCTCTTCTCTGTGGGATTTACGGTGCACATCTTGTGACAAACTGTGCATTCATCCTGAGTGCGGGGAAGAGAAGGACCAAAACACAGGGGATGATAACCAGCATCATGGGATTGGCTGCACTGACTGAGAGGCACACTCGTGTCAAAGGGATTACATTGCTTTGTGTGCACAGGAATGTCACAGAAACCAAGGAAAGAACTGYAGTCACAAATACCAGACTGGAAAWCTGAAACCTGAAATGACATTTGTGGTCAGACTTCAGGCTTTTGCCCTCTTCTTTCCATGGCTTGGACTGTATGTGTAGGAATCGATACAGATTTTGGTCAATGTCTCTGTACTTACTTTTTAAAGTCAGRCTTAAAACATTGAAATAATTTGGCTTCTACTTCTTTGTACATGTCTTTGCCATGACAAGTACTGTTAGTTTTTTAAAGAAAAACTAAAACTCTTTATCCTTTTGCTTCCACAGAACTGATAAGCTCACACTTATTCACAGAACAAAATTTACTTTCTTAAGTCAAATTTGGTGAATCAAGTGGTGGTTTTGTCTTCAGGGATTCAGCACTGCTTCTGCAGAAAGCTGGACAGTGAAAAGGCCTAAGAGGTCACTAAATTCCAGTGGAACCAATCTGTCACTGACTTTAGCCTAAACTAACTGTATTCTAGGTTTGCTTATTTTTTGTCTTTTGCATGTTTGTTACCTTTCTGGGACCTGCAGTAACATCTAGAGCAGATCTTTTTSTATCTTTGCACATATTTTTCGTTGTTCTCTTAAATAACAGCATAACTCTGAATTAGATCTAAAGATATTGTGTCAAAACTGCTGGGCTGTACCCCTGGAGTTGTACAGAGGAGTCTTATTTATCAGGAAATGAACCGTGACTTCCAYGATCACACACTTCTTGTGTGGTCTATGCAGAGCTGGAAGGACAGAAATWACTTGGAACTTCAGGGCTGTTGAGTGAAATTCTTTGTGGTCTCCTATTTGATTACAGTAATGAATGGCTACATCTGAGCTTGATTTTCCTCCTTTGTTTTATCTTYAATGTTAATGACTTGGTTTATGTTTTAGAGTCCTCCACGCTATCAGAAATGGCAAAGCTGTAAGATGGGCATTGAGCTTTGGGTTGGAGAACATTCTCTGAGCTCCATGTCAAAATGTTGCAGTGGCTGCTGCCCCAGAATGTGCTGTGTCACTGAGGGGGCACCCACCTGTTTTATGTCAGGGACTAAATGCACACAGGGTATCAGTGAGTTTTCACTTCAGGGAATGTTTATAGAGTTTCTTTCCTGGTTCCAGTTTTAAGCAGCATGTGTTTTTCCCAAGTGGCAATAGCAGCATGGCAATGCAATGCAGGAGTCAGGCTGAGCCCACACAAAACTAGGCCCCAGCATGTGYTAATGTCAGACGTGGGCATCCCTTCTCCTTTTTCTGTAACACAAATAAAATAGTAGTAGATTATAATATATAGTTCAACGGCCAGACTGTTTGAAATTTTATGTATTGTACATAAGAGGATAATTGTAGATTAACTAATGCCACTGCCCTCAGCCTTGTTTCAAGTTTCATAAAGATTATTGCAGTATGAAGATAAAATGCCAAACTCCAAGGTCTGGCACCTGTCAGAACAAATGAAGCTGAAAGGGTCATTTTTTTCACACTTTCATTGTAATATATTTGAAGACATTCACAAGYTGAAAAATGGTTACTTCTCCTTTTGTGACATCTGACATTTGTCTTGCGATTGGCAGTGTGTTACTGGAAAATAGCTTACAGTTCCTCTCATCTCGTGATTGATGTCCTGTAAAGACAGAGTTACAGAGGAGGTGGATTTGAAATGCTATGACTGCGAATGCCTTTCCTTGCACCTTTGAAGTAGTACGATGTGTGGCCTAAAATGTCCCAGTTTTGCTATTGTATAACTTAGCCTGATATCAGTGGAATAAATTAACTATTGTATATTGAACACTGATAAGATCTCTCTCTCTATGGGAGACCTTTATACTCTCTGGATCTAATAGAGGTTTTTATAGCTCATGCATCCACAGGCTGATGCTGAACGCCCTATTCATCTCCCACTTCAAATATGAAGGGTCCCTYGTAGAATAGTCAAAATATTCAATTATCTGCCTCTAGTAATCCAGTGTTCATGTATTTATATAATTGGAAAATTGAATGCCATATTATTCTCGGAGGGGGGGGATGGAATAAACCAGGAATGTACTTTAGAGATTTAATGGCAGTCACATTTCTCTTYCCTCCTGTCTAATTCAATTTCCTCTGAGTATTATTTAGCATCCTATTTCATAGAGYCTTTAAGTTACCACTCTGTGCCCGTGCAAATGACCAGAGACACTTTATCCMGGATATGAATGCTAATGCACTGATAATCTGCTAATCCTGAGGTACCTCTCTAGCTAAAGAAACAATACAGGAAAGGTAGCAGGCGCTGGGTTTTTAATAGCACTTTTGTATATATTCTCTTCAGAGAATACCACAGCACAGCACTCMTAATTCTATTTATGGCACATGTGATATGAATATTATATACCAGTGAAATCTTTCTTGTCATCAGACACTGGGTCTGGTATTCCTCTCTGGGTAGAAATCAAAATAAAACAACATCTAACAAAAAGTTGCAGCGAGTCCAGAATTTGAACTCTCTTCCCTGCAGGCTTGTRTGTACCCTGAACGTGCCCAGACTCGCTCAGTGATTCCTTGTTCCATTTGAGTCTTTCTTTGCATCAGGTTGTTGTAGGTAAGTGACCTAAAATTTGCCTGATGTGCGCTGGGAATTCCGTGTCCGAGATGTCCCGGTAGTGCCGAAAGGAGGGGGCGGCTCTCGGCTGATTACAGCGTTAATGATCAGCTGGGAGCCCCGAATCACCTGTGCCGCTTGGGCTGAGCTCAGCCCAGCTGTTCCCGTGCCGGGCTGTCCCCTCAGAGCCCCGCAGCACAGTTCGGGAGCCCTGGAGAAGAGGACGGAGCCTGGCGGGGTAGGTGCGCTTTCCTTTGCTGGGTGCTCGGGTCGGGCGGGGATTTTGGGGCTGATTCTGACCGGGGCGCTGCTTCATGTGGGAGTCCCAAGCGCTGTGCTGCTCTGCTCTGCCTTTCTGCACGGACATGACGGGCTCCGGCGCCTGGGACGCCCTTCGGTTTCACGGAGCAGAACCGTGGGGTGACTCCTCAGTCAGATCCTCCTGGTGGAGCAGACGGAGCCCCGTGGGCTTCCCCGAGAGCCCCGCACACACGGGAAATGTTCCCGTGAGGATCCCGGGCACAGGGAGAGCCCGGAGCTTCCAGAACCTTCCTGGCGGCGGGAGCCGTGAGGGCGGGAAGGGACCGTGAGGGCGGAAAAAAGGAGCCGTGAGGGCGGAATAAAGGGGCCGTGAGGGCGGAATAAAGGGGCCGTGAGGGCGGAATAAAGGGGCCGTGAGGGCGGAATAAAGGGGCCGTGAGGGCGGCGGCAGCCCGAGTCGATGGGCCCTGGTGGTTTTTAGTGCACATCGGGAGTGAATTGGGGCGTCTCCATAAGGATGCTTTCATAGCAATGCCCAGGGTTTCCCCTCAGTGCGGCGGATTGGGCCCTATCAGTGGAACTGGTACATGGTGCGGGTTGTGCTTTGTTCCTCCACCTGTCTCTGCCATCGCAGAGGTTGATCGGAACCTCCTGAAGCAGAGAGCACTGCATGGCATAGCCCTGTGTGGGGGAATTTCATCCCACGCTGTGCCATGGATAGGAACATCTACCTCTGTCCCAGGTTGCTCCAAGCCCCATCCAGCCTGGCCTTGGGCACTGCCAGGGATCCAGGGGCCTCCCCACCCTCRCAGGGAAGGATTTCCTCTGCTTTCTCGGAGGTGCTATTCCTCCAGACACTTGGCTGTGCCTTGCAGGGGTCCTGCAGCTCCCGCTGCCCACCTGAGCAAGAACAAACTGCTCCAAGCACAAGCTGAACACTTGATTTTCTTAGGTACTGACTCTGTTTATGGAGCTGCCCCCTCCTTTGGCCACACTGATGGCCACTGCGGCCACATTTCAGCCTGGGAGAGCACACTRCCCCTTTGCCCACTGCAGATGTCCTTGAAACGATGAAAGATGGTGTTTAGGCTCCAAATTCCTGCTCAAATATCAGCAGTGAGGTGTCTACATCTGCCCAGCTACGCTCGACTTGTCTCACTCTGCCCTCTGGTTGTTCCTCCATAAGGGGAAATTGATAAAGTATTTATTTTTCTCTGGCTGTTTCCATCTGTACTGCCTTGAGAGCATCCTCCGGCTTGCTTGGTTTGTTCCAGCAGGATGAGGTCCCAAACCYCCCGCTATCCCTTCCCCAACTGCACACAGCCCAGCTCATGCTTTTCTCTCAGATTATTTCTGCCTTACTTACCTTCACTTCACCTTAAGCACACACACAAAAAATCATCAGGCTACCCAGATAAATCCATCTGGTCTCTGTCTCAGCCTCATTTAACCTCCCATTGAAGAGATTGTATCACATGGTWTTCAGCTGGAACCTATTACCTTGCATGCCCAAGCATATCACATTGAATTACCCTGGCCCACAGGCCTGCGGTGTTTGCTAATAGCTAATGGCTGCTTTTAACTTAGAGGTGATTTATTCGAGCGCGTTTCTATTCGCACTGCAGCAGGGGGATGTGGCACCGTGTTAAGCAGAGCTCAGTGAGGGAGCGCCGGCGGGATGGCTGAAGGCAGCCTGGCTTCACACCTCCGTGCCAGCTGCTGACRTTTCCCAGTATTCCCATTCCTCACCGCTGTCCCACGTGCAGCAGGTGTTGGGGGCTGGGCCTGGCTGCTCCTACGGGAGGGCACAGTGCTCTGCCTGCCTGTTGTCACCAGCSTGAGTGYCAGGGAGCGTGTGACAYATCCGTGCGCTCGAGAATGTYCCGTGAAGGGGCAGTGAGCCCACAYGCTATSCCCTRCCYTCTGCCCCARCTGACTCTGGGAGRCAAATATTTTTKGCAGTTATGGTGGCAGAATTAAGTTCACTTGTGTCATTGCAGAATTTACTGCAGGTGTAGTGTAAAAGTGGTAGAAATTGCAGTAAAAGAYAAAATTGAAAGCCTGTTATGGTGATGTGATGTAATTTTCTCTCTTCCTTTACCTCATCAGTGGAAATACAAAAGCCCTTCTGCAGGTCAGGTTCAGATACACTGGTGAACAAGCAGGAGAAAGGGAGAATGTGTTATGGGTGCAAACGCAGCTCCCTGATCTGTGGTTTGCTAAGTCTTGAGCTTCATGTTTGTCCTTTCGTCAGCCCAGGTCCCTCAGCACACAACTYTTCTCCCTCAGGGGTGAGGAGGGACTTTGGCTTCCAGGAGCTTGAGAGCGACTGTAATAAATCAAAGTCAGTCAACTCGGGAGCTCTGATATTCAGGCTTCGTTCCTTGACAATGTAGCACAAAAATCAAATGGTTGAGGTTATTCAATTATGGCTCATACCACCAATGAKAAAATCTGATCATGTATGGGGTCGGCATCAATATGATTTATCTGTAGAGGAGCTATGCTGGCTGTCAGGTGGGAAATGGCAGAAATCCTACACGTGTCCAAGTCTTTCTCTTCCTCTCACCTTACTTRATAACCAAGTAACCTGATCTGCTGTCTGTCTCAGATCAATAATAGCACAGGGCACATCATAACAAGCTGGAAAGCATTCTTCCTGTGTGTCAAGACATGGCAGGTGCTGAGGTGATGGTGGGGAAGGAGGTGCTGCCTGGCACGGGACACAAACCMTCTCCATCCTGGCCTGGCTGCGGGCAGCACTGCTGGCCCTTCCTGCAGGATGTACAAAAGTGTGGGCAGTCAATAGCCACGGATAAAATAAAGTTGTGAACAGCAGCAGGAGCTGAAATAGCAACATCAATAGCAGTTTCCAGATAATGATCTAATTAGCACAAACAACAAGTTTCCACTAATGACTCTTGTTCTTCCAGCTCCTTCCTTTCTGCTCGCCTGTCATTATTGACTCTGGCAGGGAGCGGCTGTGCTCCCGTCTCTGGGGCTGAGGCTTTGGAGGTTTGTTTACTGCCTGGCTTTGAATTACTTCTCCAGAGRATGTTTGCTCAGGAGCCTGGGCTGCGTGCGTGGGATGGCTGCGCACAGAAGGCGGAAGGGGAAGAAAATCAGCTGTTTGGCTTTTGTAGCTTTTGGGAGGCCTTGGGAAAGTTGTGCTCCTACTGCACATCCCTGTTGTAAAAATAAGGATGCTGACATTCACCCACTGCAGTGGAGTGGGAGCTGACTGCTTGTGAAGGGCTTGGGAAGCTGTGAGGGGAAGATGCTTGTTGGGAGCCAGTTAGAAACTATTACTGGAGGAGCAGAAACAAGCTGTTTCTGTCCCTTCCCTCCCTAGGTATGAGCCTTGTCACTGCATGTCCCTGCCTTGCTCTCACTGACACAAACAGGCTCTTCTGTGCTCTTAAAACCCCAGCTTGGCAAGTATTGCCTTAATGCTGTCACTTCCTTGGYTGTCAGTAGCCACTGTTGTGGCTGCTGTTTTGTTCTCAGTTACAGTGGGCAGGACTCTTGCATTTGCCCGTTGTGAAGGTGCCCAGTTCTGACAGCTCCCAGTTTCCAGCGCCGCAGTGCAACTTGGCTTTGCCCGTGCAATGGAGTGGGACCATGGCTGTCCCACCTCAGCCTTGCCTGAGCTGCGCTGGAGAAGGTGCTGCTTGGCACCAGGAGCAGTTCACGGGCCAGTGACTCTCACTCACYAAACTCAGAACAAATCCTCTAAGAGTGCAATTACTGGAAAATCATTATTACTGATGAGTCTTATGCTGAAATGACTCTCCAGATTAAAAACCTCAAGCAAATACATCTGCGCTCCCCAGCATCCCAGCCCGTATTCCCGTGGCTGTTCTGGCTGCTGATCTGCAATTCCGAGTCTCACTTCTCCCAGCCCTGCCCGTCTGCTGGGGTCCAYTGGGAGCGGCTGCAGCCGGGCTCTGGAGCTGCAGATGCTGAGAGCTGTCAAGTGCACAGAGACGTTCTGGGTGTTTTTGGCTGAGAATTCAGCTCTGCTCTAATGAAGCCGAACAGCCGCTAAGGAGGTTTTATTCAAGTCAAGGTGGTTTTGACTAATCCCTCCTTGCAGCATTTTCTGAGGTGCTTGGTGTTTCCAGGGCCGCTTTTTACTTTTTTTCAACCTTTAATAYCAACAATGTTGAGGGGGATGGCAGAGCCCTGGGGGAGGATTTTGGCCTAGGTGGGTTTTGCGTTCCTTCCTTGGGCAKGTGCTGGTTCCTGGCAGAACAGGAGAGTTCTCCTGGGTGGGTGGCTCAAGCCRCTGGCAGCAGAGCCCAGTGCCCATCCCGACTCCAGCGCTGCTGAGCACAGGAATAGCCACAGGTGCTCTCCACATCCTGACTCATTTCSATGCAGCCAGYCTGTCTTSCCCCTCTCCCYGAGGAGCTAATTATGGTGATGTTAATGAAGCAGAGGTGCTGATGCTGCCCAAGGTTTTWATGACTTTCCTCCAAGTTTTCTGCWACTTTTACTGGAGGCAGAAGGGTGGTTTGTAAGGAGTGGTGGGGGCAGGAGCAGACCTGGTTGTCAGACCCCTTCAGCATGTCAAGGGAAGGTGGCGGAGCCAGGTCAGGCCTC